TTTGTTTCTTGGTGAGTCTGGCTAAGGGTCCATTAATCTTGTCTTGAAACAAATTTTTTTAAGAAAGCTTTACTTTCCATATCATTAAAAAATGGAAATTATCATTTAAACAATATTCAAGTTTATTAAAGAAATTTTTTTTAAGTATTATCAAATGTTTACTTTTCATCAGCTTCAAGGTTTATATTGCTCCTAAATTTTGCATGTAACTGAATCTTCAAGTCTGCTAACAATCAGTGAATTGATTCCACTCTAGATTCTAAGTCATCAATTTCTTCTGGCAAATTTGTCTTTGCTTCTTCTAACATTTCTTGTGTTTTTTCTTGAGAATAGCTAATGAAAACATCACCAATTTGATAAGGTATCATAAAGCTGTCATCTTTGACAAGCATGATGTCCTCACAGGCATGTTCTAAATTTGGAGTTGTTCCTTCTTTTTATATCTATTTCTTCCTTCTGTTCTGTGATTCAACTTGTATTCTGTGCAGGTTTGTTTATCTTTTGTTGATTTTCAAAAGTAATATGGACATCTTCTGCAGCTGCCCTCTTCGTGGTAACTGCCTTCTTGGGACTGGACTATGGTGTGAGGCCTGTATCATTTGCATTTATTCTCTACCCAACACCACCAATGCTGAACCACACTTTCCACAGGGGTTCAATTTAATTGAGGAATTGGGTGTAGTAAAAAATACATTATATTGCTAGCCTCTCTGCACACCTCACCCCCAAGAGAAATGCTAGTTTCTGGGAAAGAAAAAAAAAAATGTGTCTGTTAACAGACTCTCAGACTAGGAAAGCAGATGTGATAGTTGTCTAGCCCAGTCCTCCCCACACTATACATTTATTCCTTCAAGTTCGAGTAACCTTATCGAATACTTACAGTAATAGGGAGGCCAATATTGCTCAAAGCAGGACATTTGAGGTTCCACAGCTCTGATTGATATGCCTTACTGTGAGCAGAAATCTGTTCTGCTCTTGAGTCTAATGTCCTCAAGAACCACATACCCCTTACATGTGAAGGCCCTGTACATATGTATCTGAAGTCCCCACTGCCCAGATTTCACACCAAATCCCAGATATTTGACTTCTCAGTGATAAACCACCATATAGATTCCAACAAAACCAAAAAGAGAAGCATCATCAAGCTCCTTATTGGAAGCAGGGATGTATTCAGTTGTCTTTTAACCATGCCATTCAGCTGTTGAGGAAGTAGTAGAAATCTCTAAAATGTTGTCAAGACAATCAAAGTCCAAATATAAATCTCTTTGGGATTCCACTCAGAAGCAGTTTTTAAGTGTATGTCATACAAACTCAGAAAAAATAATAAAAGATTCTCTCCTCCCCCTCCTTTTTTTCTTCTTCCTTCTCTCCTTGTCCTCCTCTCCTTTCTTGTTCTCTCCTCTTGTTTTTATCATGGGGTAATGTGCGTTAAAAATGCATACTGGGAAGCTTTCCACCTTTGGGGTTGGAAGAGCTGCTGCCTCATTATTGTTTTTGTTAGTTTTGTGTTTTGTTTTTTTTAACATACTTCGCTGTTTTTAAGAGAGTTGTTTTTAAGCTACATGTTTTATAACACTAGATGAGATCACAAAGTAGGATGATTGGCACTCTACTGACAAAAACAAGACTCATAGGGTCCTAGGTGTCCAGCAAGGACCCCTGTCAAACACACCCTCCTGCATAGCTAGCTTCCCATAAAAGACCCAACTTATCCCAAGAAAGGTAATTCACAAAGGCTTTGGGATAAACACAAGGAAGTACACCCATAAGAAAAATGAGAACCAAGCATTCATAACAGGATGCCTAAAGAAACCCAAGGTATTTGAGCCCTTGGTTTTTCCAACAGCATAGAGCATTCAGAGAATGTTTCACAGACTGTTGCCAATTCCATCTGGGAGCATTCGCCAAAAGACATAAGATCAGACATACCCAAACATCAGGGCTCTGAAAGGCACAGGTATAGGTAGAGAAGACATGCCATCTGGCCCACTGTCGCTGCCACCTGCTACAAATGACCCTCCTGTCAGGAGCCTCCAACCCCACCATGGGAGCAAGAGACTACAGCTAAGGGAGATAAAAGTCTGCTCTGCCCATGCCTAAAACAACCTTGGAAAGCACACCCCCAAGTAATCACTAAGCAATCAAGGCTAAATATCAGGCACAAAAACATACCCCTTCAACCTTTCCAGTGAGACAGCAAGAGTTCATTTAGGAGGCCCACATGTTCCATCATCTTCTCAAGGAGGTCCAACAAAAAATGATCCCAACAGAGAGCGTCTTGGTCATACTGAGACTTCAGGGAGGTGTGGCAGTGACTAAAAAACAGGAAGCTTAGTGCTAGCCACATGCAAGACTTCACAGACCTCCTGACACAAACAGCAAAGGAGCTAGGGGTTCCTGCTAAATTTTTGAAAAGACTTCTGGACTTTTATAAGTCCAGCCACTGATCCACAGAGTTCTCTCTCAAATCAAGAAAACAAACCCAAGGCAGTCACAATGGCTTTGACCTCATCCAATTGCTCCCTCCCCCAAAGAATCATCTTATTTGGGTGAGCAATTGAGAATACAGCCTGTTACACACATCCTGCCCAGGACAAGACCAGCGAAACCCAAGGACTTAACAAATATTAATTATTTGGTGTAGAAAATAAGGTCATTGGCCTTTCAAGTAAAATATCCTCTGACCTAAATAAGATTAAAATATAGAGCCATTCTCAAAAAAAAGAAAAAAAGGCCATAAAAGTGGCATTATACGATTGGTACATCAAAGTCTCTGTTTGCCCACAAATATCTTCCTGCTTTGCTTTGGCATTGTTCTCCTTTTCCAAGCTCAAACTCCTACACCAACAGAGTCACTGCAAAGAACAAGCAAACAAGAGTAAGGCATTGTGTCCAGGAAGCCACTAAGAGTATGTTTCATTCTCAGAGATAAGAGAAAAAGAAGTAAAGGGATTTCTTCCAGCTTTCTCATCTCCCAAGCTTGCTCATTGTCACCCTGGAATCATAGGTTAGCAGGAAATGGTACCATATATCTAAGGAGATCATCTGATATAGTCCTCTCCCTTGAAAGGAAAGATGTTATTATATCCATTTTATAAAGGAGGTGACTGAAATACTGGTCCAAAACTGCATACCTAGTGAGTGGGAAAGAATGACAACCCAGGTTTGCTGCCTCCTTGTGCGGGGCTCTTTCCGCCTGATCTGTTTCTTTATAGAAAGATATAGAGATTTATCTAACAGTGAACTTGAAAATAATTCATGTGATGAGGCAGGTCCTGTACCACCTGAGGAGATGACAAGGGAGAAAACTTTGGAGGGAGGCAAAATATTTCCTACTTTTTATTCTCACAGCCAACCCTGACACACAAAACATGCATCAAAGTTGCTTCTTGATTCCCTGAGACACGACATTCCTTCTAAATTCTGGAAGGCCTTCTAAGAGTCTGAAATGACTCCTCACAAGAAAAACATGGGATTCCTGGAATTGATGTCTGGACTATACTGCAGAGCCTGGCAGACAGTGAAACCTACCCCTGTAACAATGATAAAGGTCAACAGAGGAAGACCAGAGCAGCATCCTATTCAGATCCCAATTGTGGCTGGGCCAGCCAGGGGGCAGGAACACTAGGGAGTTTGGGCAGGAGTAACAAGCAGTTTGCCAGATGCCCTAGAATTCTAGGAGAACCCGAGAGAGTTCTCGCAAAAGACAGCAGTGGGAGACAGTCAAGAACACTGTCCTGTCTAAGGTTCCGGAAGAGCCTCACTGGAGCCTGGACACTCCGTTGAGCAGCTACAGTTCGATCCTAACCTAGAATCATTTCCTCTTTAAACGTTTCCTGTACATCCATCTTGACAGACCAGTTAGCATTTCTTTGAGACAAGAACCGGTCTACCCTCACCGCTGCTCTTTTTTTTGGAAATGGTTTTCTTGGGACCAGATTTGCCAAGGGCAGTACATTTAGGCTTCCAGCCAAAGTCTGCTGGAAACACGACTTAAAACTAGCTCTTTCAAAAGAAGTAATTCTGTAATTTGATGTTTCCTCCCTCCCCTCCCCCCCAAAAAAAGAAAGAAATGACCCTTAACATTCTCTGAACTCCCTGACAGGTCTGCCAGGACCCACGGCTTGGGTGTTTGTTTTTGTCTTTGTTTCTGGCTTCTTTCACGTTTCTTCAGGCTCTGAAAGACCCAGTTTGGAAGGGCAACTGGTGATAGAGGACTTTCTCATTCTGCCTTAATCCGGGGCACAAAAGTTTTTTAGGCGCAACACGACAGTACTTTCCTTCTTCATCTCCCAGCTGTCATCCCCTCGCGCCTTCCCACTCTTAGCTAGCCCTTCTTTTTTTAAAAAAAGTTAATAAACCAATTGCCCCCGGGAGGCAAAAGAGGGCAGGGCTCTGGCGTCTTGGCTAAGTAACTTAAAATTTCCGCCGGAAGGAAATTATCAAAAGAGAAGGAGAAAGCCCTCCACAGTCCGGAGGGGCTGCGGCGGTGACCAGGAACCGCCGCGACTCTTAGTTTCAGCGGAAGGTCTCCGGCGCCCGGCCCCGGCCCCGGCCCCGGCCCAGCCCCCAGCGCCGCGAGGCCCGAGCGGATCCCGGGAAACTGGCCGGCGGGGGTAGAACGAGTCGAAAAAGCCCGAGCGGGCTCGGACAGGACGCGGCGGGTGGGGGGCGGCAGGGGCACGAGAACAAGGTGGGCGCACAGGGCAGGGGACGAGGGGGTTCGGGAGACTACAGGGGCGCACGGACTAGGGGAGCGCCGGGAACCAGGGAGGCGCACGGACGGGTGGGGCGAGGAGAGGTGGACGTGGGAGAAAAGGAGGGCGCACAGACCAAGGGGAACCAGAGGTTCGCGGGGACAAAAGGGGGTGTACGGGCTCAAAGGCGCAGAGTAAAAGAGGGGCGCGAGAACGAGAGGGGCGCAGGGGACGTGGGAGGCGGACGGACGAGGGGGGCTCAAGCAAGAGGGTGTACCCGGCGGATGGCAGCGCAGGACTCACCCCGAGAAGGCACACTTTGAGCTCCCGTATCGCCATCATGTGCTCGGGGCCGGTCGGGGCAGAGGCTCAGCATCCTCCGGGGCCCGGGCCGCGCCGCGCCCACGCCGAGCCAGCGTCCTCCAGTCTCCGCCTTTCCCTCGCGGCGCCTGCTGGCGGAACCGCCGCCGTTGCTATTTCTGGGCCTGCCGCGGTCGGTCACGTGGCCTCTGGCCGGCTCCTCCCGGAGCTTCGGGTCTGACCTCCTCGGCCCCTACTTAACAGGAACGCCCCCAACAGCGTCAGCCGCCCCCTGTACCTGCGGCAATCCTGAGAGTGCCTCCTCCCTCACACCACCTCAGCAGCGAGACCACGATCTACAGAAGCCCCTCGGGCATCTGCCTCTCCAGACCCGCCGCAGTGTCCGTGGGGTGGAAGCAGGGCAAGGCCCGCTGTGGGAAGACCTGGCACCACGACTGGTTGCGTCACTGGCTGTACCATTCCTCATCTGAAAAATGGGTGCTATCAGTTGAGGTCATTTATATGGGAGTAACTTCGGAGTCTGTGTGTGTCTATCCCATCCTTAAATGACATTATAGATTCCTGGCAGAAATGAAGCCAAGCAAGAGACAATTGCGAGGATTAGAAAAAGGGGTTAACTTTGCAGCCCACTTTCTCCTGCAGTTCCAATACTGGGGGTCAATTTACCCCCATATATAGTTATTTGTTCCCAGCCCTGAATTCATTTTTCTACATGTAGTCGAATATGGTTCTAAAAGCAATATACTATTCCTCCCTCCAAAACAGGCATGTCACTGTTTGTAAAAGGAACACACATTCTACAGAGGAAGCCGCCTTGCTCATTATAGAAAATGCTGCAACCTGCCTGAGCAGACAAGACACCCAGCCCTCAGACTCTAGAAACATGTAGCTCCTTACAGATCTTCTGCATGCTTCCTTAACCTGGAAATAAAAAGAAGTTCCGGCTGGCGACACTCAAAGGAGGCTTGTGGGAACTACCCTCTTTTCTTCTCCATGCATGGCCCAGTGTACCTCATCCGGTCTATAGTTACTGCTATAGAAATGTCAGCCTTTTGGAGATATCTAACCAGAATAATTCACTGGCATTTTCAATGGAAATAATGTGGGGTTTGGGGGGTTTTTTTAGATTTATCTTTATTGTCGAAACTTTGTGCCCTATCCCAAATTCTCAGGCTTCTCCTGACTTACCAATTTTGATCAACAACATTTCCGTTCCCCCAGCAGACCACCCACCTTGATTATCTGGCTTTGTCCTCATTGAAGCCAGGCTGAAGTTAGGAGCACCCAAGTAGCTCCATACAGTGGGGACTTCTGAATCAAGGCCTCCAGAGAGAAAATCCTAGAAGCTGGAGTCAAAACAGGCCACAAAACAGACAATTGACAATTAAATTCCCCATAGCAGTTGGGACTTCCCCTTGACAGGTGCAGGCTCACTCACACAAATCTGTACTAAATTGTTCAAAAAGTAGCCACGGAGAAGATATGGGTCCTATTCAACATGGAGATTACTGTATCAGTATCTGTCCTTGGTTTAGTGTCCAAAGTAAGGACAGTCTTCTATGTGAGCAGCATGCAAAGAGGTGGGCCCTGGTAACAATACCTCACTGTCCTCAGATTTGCTGCTGAGAGAAAGAGCTGCATAGTTGTGGAGGAGACACCATGATAAAGCAACTATTTGACCAAGGCTTTCAACAGCCTTCCCTAGCATCTAGGTCATCTCTGGCTGTATTACTTGAATCTCCACCTAGAAGCGCGTCCCTGTGGCCTTTCTTTTCATTTCCCAAAGCTGGTCAAACCACAGTGGAAGCCTTTTCCATTATCTAAACCCTATGGAATGAGTGGGAATTCGTAAAATTACAATAGATTGCTGAGGACAGGACCATCCCCAGACAAAAATAAGTCAACAAAATTTCTCTTCCATTCCCTTACTGTTTAAGTTTCTTCTCATTCCACTCTGTTCAACATTAACCTAGGTGTTTGGGATATTTGTGTGGTTTCTAGGCTTTCCTGAAATAGTCCCTTTTTCAGCTCCCCACCACCACCACCACACACAAAAAAACACCCTAGTCTGGTTGCCCTTCTCCCCACTCCCAATGCTATTAAATATCACCTCATTTGTGTCTCATTCTGATCAGGCAGAGTGCTCTGCTTTACCAAGTGGCAATCCTAGTCTGCCAGCCAGACCACTATCACAGGTTTATACTCCCTCCTCAGCCAGGTTATCCTTGGGGACTTAAAAACTTGCCTTATGGCCCTGGCCGGTTTGGTTCAGCAGTTGGAGCGTCGGCCTGTGGTCCAGAGACACCTGGGTTCGGTTCCCGCTAAGGGCACGTACCTCGGATGCAGTTTGTCCCCGGCCCTGGTCGGTTGTGCGGGTGGCAGCCATTCGATGTGTTCTTTTCTCGTTGATGTTTCTCTCTCTCTCTCTCTGTTCCTCTCTCTCCCTCCCACTCTACCTGAACAAAAAATGGAAAAATGTCCTCGGGTGAGGATTAAAAAAAAAAAAAAACTTGCCTTGTGAAAAACCTGGTCTTCATGATCAACCCAAAGTGACGCATTGACCCACACCAGGAAGGAGGGATGAGGACTGCTATGAGACATATTTGGGAGTGACAGGTCCTGGGTAGCTCTCAACTTTTTAAGGACATACTGTTCTCTATGAATGCTATTATTATACTCTGTGATTACTATGGTAAAGACCTGTCCTGACTCCTCTGGAATTTTCTGAAAATATGAAGAGGTTCTGATATAACTTAAGCAGGGATAAGAATTTAATGGTATATAACTGAAAATTTATCAAATAGACTAATAGAACATCTAAGGTTTTCTTATGAGAGTTTGTAAAGTAAAAGGTCATTGTACTAATTCAGACTTCTGCTTTTCTCTGCTTTAAAGTCTTCAGTGTCACTGTACAAGAAGAAATCAAAACTCTTCATATATATTTGCCCAACTAGCCTCTTCTCTGTCCATCTGGTGAAACCCCATCATTTTTCAAAGACCTGCTCAAATTTCATCTTCTTAGGAAAGTCTACCCTAAGCTTGCCCATACTCTGCTCACACTTTTCTTAGCATTTACTGAACATAAATAAAGTAACTAGTAACTAAATCCCTTCTTTTTAAATTTTTTTTATTGATATTTTTGAAAGAGAGAGATAGAAATATCAATGAGAGAACATTGATCTGCTGCTTGCCCCACCCACACCCACACCCACCCCCCAGCGATCAAGCCTGAAACCCTGTCATGTGCCCCGACCAGGAACGGAACCAGTGATCTCCTGGTGCATGGGACGATGTTCAGTGCACTAAGTCACACAAGCCGGGCTAAATCCTTTTTACAAGAATTCAGAGTCTAAACAGACACACAAATGTAATTATCTGTCTGTATGAGAGGTACCCTTATCTCTGTATCATCAGGGTTTTCAAATGACAAGAAAAATTTTTTTAAAAGAAAAGTGACTAGAAATAAATCTTTTTATCTCTGACTACCTAGGAGTATTTTCTAGAAATATTTTTGGCCTCATATATATGCCATTCAAACAAGCCTACAATTTGGTAGCTTTCTATGGCTGGGAGACCACAGAGTCATCTTCATGATATGGCCCCAGGATCCAGGGACTACCCCCTAAAAGGATGGCTGAGCCTGTTAGAATCCTCATCCTAATACTTCATCTCGGAAGGTTCTGAATGGGAACTTAGTGACAGTCTACCAAGAAACTGCAAAGTGACTGAAAAAACTAACCCAATCTTTCTCTACCAAAACCCAATAACAGTCATACAACTGATTTGTTTTTTGATCCAGTAATTCCTTTTTTGGACAATAACATAGAAACAAACATAAAAAAGTGAACAGTGATAAAGCCTGCCTGTTTATCCACAAACATACACCAAAGGAAACAAAGAAATACATTAGAGAAATCATTAAAAAAACAAAAAACAAAAAAAAACTACCTCCATTGAGATAAAGGGAGGATAGTCGGATGGTTGCATTAATGGCAATGCTAAAGGGGAGAAACAAATGAAATCACTTAATATTTGGGGAATGATTAAGCAAACTATGGTGTCTTTAAAACAAAAGTACATTTAATGGTGTATGTTACTTGGGTATTAAATGAAATTTGTATACTATGTAGATTTATAGAGAAGTTTGTAGTATATAAGTTTCTGTAATATGACAGACTGCAAGCTGAGCTCAGCAGACCAGTGGTGAGTCTTCTCGTATGCTCAAGGACCAATTAATGAAAAATTTAAATGTTTATAAACTTTGATTTTAATAATTATATCTTTTCTATGGAAATTTAGTATCTGCAATATCAGTTAAACAGCGTTTTAACATTTCTCATTTCTGAACAACTTTCTTTCTCCCTTCCTTTTTTCCTTCTTTTCTTCCCTAAATTCCATACACTTTCTAACTAGCAAGTGCTGCCATCTCTTATTTGTAACTCAGACCCTTTAAACACATTTTAGGGAGCTGAATCTGGGACATACCGGGTCCAGAGAGGGATCTGAGGGATTTAGGAAAGCAGAGGTGAGAGGATCCCACAATTCACCCACAGACATGAAGAAGGAGAAAGCATACATCAAGTAAGGAGAAGACAGATGTAAGTTGTTTTGAAAAAATTTACTTTGGCTATTGATAAAAGGGGCAGGAAAAGGTGAAATGGGACTAGTTCTGGGATAGGTGCAGAGTCCACCAGGAAGAAGAGCCAGCTCCTGTGGATTGGTTGTGAGAAACACTCTGGGAAGTTCCTTTGTAAACAAGAAGCAGAGGTTCCTGGGGGTCCCATGTTACCTGGCTATTCTCTCTTTTAGATAATTAGGAAATAACCACCTGGAAACTGATTAAAAATTCTAACACACACTCAGGAATGTGAGCAGTCTTGGTAGTAGACCCCCAGCTATTAACAGGCTATTTTGTCCCTTTCTCTCACTCTCCAGTCTGCTATAATTCAATTTAGGACATTTAGAATTTTTCTCTTGTCACTAGGGAGGCCTGAGAACAGAAGGAGCCTCCATCTGGAGGAGGAGATAGCCCCCAGGCACCAGGGAATGGAGCAGTGTGGTGGAGGGCATGGGAGGTAAGTGGATACAAATCCCTCTGTAAATTACTGTCCTCCACTGAGGACAGTGTCCTCCACTCCAGTTGTCTTCATCTTCATGTGGAAAGGATAGCGACATCTTGTAGATGCTTAGAAGC